CTAAAATAATATAGACAAATGTTATTTAATTATACATTATTTTAAATTATTTCTGTCAGTGTAATTCTATTAAAGTTCCAAGAAATAAGCATATTTTAATATTTAATTTGTTTATTCAATATCTAGAATCTCAGTATCATAGCCTGTATTTCTAGATTACATCTCAACAGAGAATATTTAATATATAGTTTTCCATTCATTAGGCAAACTTAAGGTGGAAACATCTTAAAACAAAATATCCTTGGTATGATATTAATAAATTAAGTAAACTTCAATTCTTTTATAAGTAAATGTTGCATAGCAAAATATTAGAATATTAAGGAAAGATAAATATAGGCTTCTTGATCAAAGATAATAGATGGAAAATTACAAAGCAAACATTTTACTTCATCCAGACTGAAACAAATTGTTTTTCTAATTTTGTATTATGTTAACACATACTCTCTCTTCTATCTTTCCCCAAGGTACACATTTCCTACTGCTTACTTATGTAGAAAATAGGTCAAAAATTTGGAATAATTCTAAAACGCTATGCACCATGCTTATTGATTCTTAAGATAGAATAAGTTTTCACTAATTCTAAATAAGTTTCTATGAGGCATAACAGAAATAAGCTCAGAGAATGCTTGCTCTCTCCCCAGGGATGCCATGTACAGATTTAGAAAAATTAACATTTGAAATATTGTTATATTTATTGGGTTTTTAGATTGCTAGATCTAATCGATGAAATAAACACATAAACACAAAAAGCTTTAAACTGGCATGCTTTTTTTTTTTTCTTTTCTCTTTCTATACATAGCTTTGGAACACATTACTTTGGAGAATCAGTTACAAAATATATCAAAAATTATCTATTATATACAAGAAACTGTCATATTCATTGGATACCCAGCAGTTAATAAAATAAGTCTTCACAACCTAGATAGGTTCTTGGAAACTGGAACTTTAAGCAAAACAATGTGTAATAAAACCATTTTTAAATCAGTGTTATAACAAAATAACACTACATGATGACATGGTTTGGCTATGCCCTTCCCAAATCTCATCTTAAACGGTAATACTCCTAATCCCTATGTGTCCTGGGAGGAACCTTGTGGGAGGAACTCCATGGAAGGAGATTAGACTATGACTGAGTTCTCACAAGATCTGATGGTTTTATAAGGGGCTTTTCCCCTCTTAACTCTGTACCTCTCTCTTTGCCATATAAAGAAGGCTGTGTTTCTTTCCCTTCTGTCATGTTTGTAAGTTTCCTGAGGCCTACCCAGTCATGTGGGGAATCAGTTAATGTTCTTTTATTTATTAATTACCGAGTCTCTGGCAGTTCTTCATAGAAGTGTGAGAATGAACTAACATACAGAAAAAATATTGTTTGAGAACCTTCTGTACATTCTTTTGCTTAAAGTCACAGTTTCCAAAAACCTATCAGCAATGTTAGTGAGAACATACTAAACAGTAGAAACATGTTCTCTTTAAAAATTTTATCCATCTTATTTTAAGCTCTATTTATGATTATTAGCTTTTACATTATAGATTTGATGTATACTTGGAGTAAGTGTAAATATAAGTATTTTTATCAAATAAAATTTTCCCATTGGTTGAAATATTGTCTGAAAATTAACATTCTGTGATTGACACTAAAGACTATTACAACTTGTTTGCCAGGCACTCGCACATGCTGTAAATTAAGGGAGAAACAATTCTTTCCTTTTAGAAGCTCTTACTCCTGAATGAGAGAAAAACCATAAATATCAATACTAAAAATGCTTTTAGAAAGTAATACGCTTCAAAAAACAAACAGAAAACAAAAGCTGTTTCATTAATTTAAAGAAACAGTGCATTTTATTTAGCGTGCCTGCTGAAGGGCACATGAGGAATAATTTATAGTCATTCAATTTATACAATTTTGCTTTGCATATTAGGTAATGATTAAGAAAGAGACTTAGAAAGTAATCCAGAGCCTATCCTATAATGATTGAAGGAACTTCAAGATCAAACAATTGTGAATGCCACTAGTTACCGTAGCAGATCATTTCATGACATAGGAGATTTCACAATTTATGACAACTCTCAGATTTATGTTTAATGTGTTTATGTAAATGGCACTCCGTATTGAGAAAATGAATACTTGCACACAAAAAAAGGTTATTTTAGCCTTTAATTATTTCTATCAACAATTTTTTGCAATGCATTGTTAACTAATTAATATAGAAGCAACACTGTATTTCTATCTTTACTGGCAAATTGAAAGATGGTAATAGATGCATAGTGACAATGACATTATTATCTAAAGAAATATCTACGAACAATAGTAAGTTTCATGGATTATACAAACGTGCTTAGTAACATCACAGAACAAAGAAAATATTAATTACATTTAAAAAATTGTTCATGATTTGCTTGCTTTGCTATTGTTTATATTTGAAAGCTTTCCATTCTTGTTGAAACCATATACATAGAATTAAGCATGATAGGTTTTTGATTTAAAATAACTCTAAAATTTCATGACAGCCTCATTCTCTACAATAGGCTATGACAATAAGTAAGTGTTTTAGAGGATTTTTTATATCAATCGGAGGTTTTATATTTCAGAAAATAATATATGAAAATAAGTATTTTTAATGATACATTTTATGACAATAATTCAGCCAACCATTATGGCATGGCATTGGACATATGTTGTATTTTGCATTGGATAAGGGTGTAACAATATAAAGTCAACCATGTTGAACATAAATTACCATAGATGAAACTTCTAACGAGAGAAAAGGTTTAAACTAAAACCTATGAGCTAGAGACAATTATTCTATTATACTGTGGTTTCTGGAATGGATGTATTATAGGGGTGTGTGTGTGTGTGTGTGTGTGTGTGTGTGTCTGTGTGTGTGTGTATCTGTGTCTGTGTCTGTAAAAACCATTTTATTTTTAAAGGACAGGTGAGTTATACATAAATAACTGCCTTACTCAATGACTCAGAGGCAACACAAATTCAATTACTATGGTATAAGTATAGGAATACTCTATGCGAGGGTCTGGGACCCAATCCAAAAAATGAAAGTACTATTATGTATCCATGGATATGAAGGTTATTATTCTGAGTCAATAGAAGATAATTCAATATGCCCAGAATTTTAGTAGACAAAAAAGTTAAACATAAAACCATTAGTGTGGAGTAGTGATCATTTAACTTAAATATCAAATCACGTCCTTTGCAATTTGTTTAAAAGAATAAATTTATCACTGCTGCTAAAGTACGGTATACTGTTCTTTGAAGAAAACAAAGACACAGGTTTAATATATATTCATACTGTAGAGTGATTTCCTATTGCAAATGACTGGAAAACACTTCTAGCATCCTAATGTTCCTGTGCTGATGGGCTTTTCTGTTGTTCAATGTGTCTAGAGCAATAAAATCAACTTGTAAGCTTTGCCTCAGCAGCTGAGGACTGCATGCATTCAGGTCATTATGGCAGTGGGGTGCTCGGTTGGGAAAATGGTGTATAAATAACTGGTAACATGCACGAAGTCTGATTTTACTGGCCAGTTACTATTTTTGGGCTACCCTTGCATTTGAAAAGATTTATGCTCCTGAGGAATTGAATGTAAAAGCATGAATGCTAACTCCACTCTGACAACACAAAAGCCATTCTTAGGAAATGATTGTTTTAGAAATGACTTTTGAAAATCAAAGTAGTTCTTTTATTAATGAAACTATACTCTACATTTTGTTAAATATTACTATGGGAACATTTAATAAAATTCACCCAAAATATGAATCTCAGGGCAAGACAACACTAGTTTTGCATTAATGTTGCATCCCATTTACTAGTGCTGTACTTTTGATGTACTGTACTCTACCACTTTAAAAATTTTTACTTCATCATTTAAAATACTTTACTTTTAATGCATACATACTGTCATTTCTTCTCTCTCTTCTTCCCTCCTTGTTTTCTCCCCTTCTGTCTCACACACACAAACTTCCCATGAACATATGCAATACTTTCAACAAATAATATGCAGTTCAAATAGTTATACACATATACGCTTATATTTACTATTTGCGACTTTTTCCAATTGTATTTCACATCCTACAAAGCAACACTGTCATGCTTCTAAACTAACTTTTTAGCTCTGTTAATTAAGTAAAAAGAAATAAGCTTATTTTGTCAATTAGTAGCATATATTTTGTATCATCTATAACTACATATTTTAAAGTAAAGTTTTCTTAAGAAGTAAAGAAAGCGGAGACTGCGGCAGCAGCAGGGCGCGGACGGCCGTATTTGCCTGCGCGGCCCGAGCCGCCGCCAACAAAAAGTTCGCGTGCGCTCGGCGGGTGCTCGGACCTGCGCGGGGCCGCCGGGCCCGGCCACCGCCGCCGCTGCCCTCGCGGCCCGGACTCGCCGCACCCGCCGCCAGGGGTGATGTCTTACAAACCGAACTTGGCCGCGCACAGGCCCGCCGCCGCCCTCCACGCCGCTGGGAGTGTCCACTCGCCGCCCACCAGCGTGGCCACGTCTTCACAGTACCGCCAGCTGCTCAGTGACCACGGGCCACCGTCCCCAGGCGACACCCAGGGACCTGGGAATAGCAGGTGCCCCAAAGCAAACGCGCGAGCTGCTGGCCATCACTGAAGAGCTGGGGAAGGGGGTCAGGCCCACGTCCGCGGGCAGCAAGAGCGCCATGGAGAGGCTGAAGCCTGCATCATTCACGCTGGAGGCCTGGCTCGGAAGGGCTCGGCAGAAACGGAACGGAATGCCAGATACTAGCTTCCCTGTTGGTTTTGAAGGATTCCCGTCTTTTTACAGGATGAGAAGTTACAGTTCATCTCCCCTGTTCAGATGAAACCCTTGTTTTCAAAATGGTTACAGTTCAGTTTTTCCTCCCATGGTTCACTTGGCTCTGAACCTACAGTCTCAAAGATTGAGAAAAGATTTTGCAGTGAATTAGGATTTGCAATTTAAGTAGTTAGGAACTGCCCAGGTTTTTTTGGTTTGTTTTTTGTTTTTAAGCATTGATTTAAAAGATGCTCCTAAAGTTATCTTACAGCAAACTAGTTTGCCTCCAAGACACCATTGTCTCCCTTTAATCTTCTCTTTTGAATACATTTGTTACTCACAGTGTTCTTTGTTCCTTTTCATAAGCTAATACCACTCTAGGGATTTTGTTTTTAATGCATATTGACAGCACGCTTTACTTAGTAGCGGTTCCCATTTGCCATACAGTGTAGATTCTGCTGAATGTAACTTCTTTTTTGCTTAAGCATTTGCATGACTATTAGTGCTTCAAAGTCAGTTTTTAAAAATGCACAAGCTCTAAATACA